TGACTTCATAGGAAATAGAGAATGAGGTTAGTGGTAGAATTCCTGCCTTTTATGCAGGAGACCCAGGCCTGGTCTGTCAGTGGAAGACTGTGTGTTGCTATGAGGAACAGGTTTCAGCAGAGCTTCCACACTGAGAAGGACTAGGAAGAAAGGCCTGGTATTCAACTTCTGAAATTTAGCCAATGAGAACCTGATGGATCACAGTGCTCTGGTTCTATTGATGAACTTGAGGGCAGCTATTAACAACTAAGTGTAAAGAAGAGTAAATACCTTCCTCTTCTGTGTGTATTTTTTTTTTACCTTTCTTATTTTTTTTTTAATTATACAATATAGGGTCGCTATGAATCATGCTCGACTTGAAGGCAATCAACAAGAAGTTATAGAAAGGCCTTTTGTTCATAGGGTTGCTATGAGTCATGCTCGATGGCAATCAACAACAACAATTAATTTATTTACAAAATTCAAATATATGTACAGCCATGTTTATCGAGGCCTTGTTCACAAAAGCAAAGAGTTGGAAACAATCTAAGTGCCCATCAACAAACAAATGGATAGAGAAGCTCTGGTATATTCATGCAATGGAATACTACACTGCATTGAAAAACAAGGAACTCATGAAATATTATATAAAATGAGTGGCCCTGGAGGATATTATGCTGAGTGAAATATCTCAGTCACAAAAGGACAAATACTGCATAGTGCCACTGCTGTAAAATGAGTCTTACATCGGGGCTGGGGGAAGATTGAGAAAGATGGGATAAATTATGTATACTGTATTAAAACAGATGAGGGAGAAAACTGTTTAAAAGGGATATATGATTAGGTATTATTGCTATGACAGGAGTCCAGAATGATGGCTGCATTGTGGAGTGGACTTGGGAGGGATTGTATAACAATGAAAAAATTTTTCTTTTACTTTTCAAAGAGAAGAGTGAAATATTGCGGGAGGTTGGGCAGGGAGGCAAGTACAACAATGAATGAATGGAAATCCAAAGTCTCTGTAAACTTTCATTAAACTGAATGAAGAAATTTAAAAAATTAGAATACATTGTTTTCCAGAACAGATTTTTCCAATTTTCCCTCACCTCCCCCCCTCCATCAAATTGTACAACCCCATGATTAATCCTCCCCACCTCATACCCCGTGGCTGTTATGTGCCACTGAGTCGCTTACGACCCACAGCGACCCAACGAACAGTAGTTCTGAAACCTCCTCTGTCCTGAGCCAGTCTCACTGACTGCAACACACCTACCCCCATTGCCCCAGTTTCTATATCAATCCATCTCATCCAGAGTCTTTCTCTTCTGTGCAGCCCTGCCACATTTCCCAGCATGATGTCCTTCTAGCCCCTCCTGGCCATGTACCCGAAGTATGCAAGACAGACCTATTTGCTTTCCTGGACGTCCATGGTATGCTCAAGACTTTTCTCCGGCACAACTCAAAGACATCAATTCTTAAATTTATATATGCATATTTTATACACATACACCCCTCAAACTTTATTACTTGCTCATATTATTATTATATTATTCTAAGGAGCTTCTTACTAATGGTATTCCAGTTATTATCAAACAATTGTGATGTTTAGGAACAAGATTTTTAAAAATTGCTGTTGTATGGAAGTCCAAAATCTCTGTAGATGTTCACTGAAATTAATTTTAAAAAAGTAAAAAAAAAAAGAAAATAAAAATTGCTGTTGTCATGTACCATTGAGTTAGAACTGATTCAGAGCTGACTCTCCAGTGGGTTTTCAGAAGTAGTAAACTCACAGGAGGTTACTGTCCATCCTTCTCCTGTTTGAGCAGCTGATGGATTCAAACCACATGCCTTTGGGTTGGCTGTGCAACTCCTTACCATTAAGCCACCATAGCTCCTTAATTTTTTTTAAAAAAGGGCTATAATTTTAAAAGAGATTAATATTTTGAAATTTACAAACCTACTACACAAGGCAAGAGAGCCTAGGCAGAGTGGTTAGAAACCAAAAGCTGCTAACCAAAAGGTCAAGGGTTTGAATCCATCAGCCTCTCCAAGGTAGAAAGATGTGGTAGCTTGCTTCTGTGAAGATTACAGTCTTGGAAACCTTGTGGGATTGTTTTTCTCTCTCCTATAGGGTCACTATGAGCCAGAGTTGATTTGAAGACAGAGACTTTTATTTTTTATACAAGGCAAAACTCACTCTATAAATGACTTAACTTCCTAGCTTTTATGGGCTTACCTTTGTTCCCAAGAACTGTGGAGAACTGTGCTCCAGAGGTGGTGGGTACAACAGACCCAAACACCGGGCATTTGGTTTACAAGAGCAGCACTATGGCCAGCAGCCATTCCTGCTGCAAGGGCTCTTAGGCAGAGTAGTACCCAATGACCCCTGAGTGACTTTGGAAAGAGCTCTTCTGCCTCTCTGCAGTTCAGCTTCCCCTTACATATAAAATGAACCTGGCAGTAATGAGCCCTCTCGGAGAGCCATCTCAAGAATTATAAGCGAGTAAAAAAGGTATCTGCAAAAAGTTGGGAATTGCTGTACACATAGCATGTAAGAAATAGGAAAAAGGGGTCTTTCTTGTAAAGTGTAAGAGAGGTCATTTTTATTATTCACAACAATGTTCTGACCCATGCTCCTTCTGTAATTATCTGCGGGGAAATTCAGATAACAAAGAAAGAGCCTTGCCTGAGTTCTTTGCTTCTAAGCCCTATGCTTCTTTATCCATTGTTCTTTCTTTTCACAGTTTTCTCCCTTTTAATAAAGAACTCTAATCTATATGAAAAGCAAAGAGAACAATAACACGAAAACCCCTTCATCCAGGCATACAATCATCAGCTCACAGTTAATCTCATTTTCTGTATACTTATTCCCCAATCCACCTCTGTGGGATCATTTTGAAGTGAATCCCAGACATGCATCATTTAATTTATCATGGCTTTAAAAAAACCCCCTATAAATCCCATTTCTTTGTCTTAGTTTAGACATCCTGATGTAAATTATTTCTAATAATAAGATGGAGGCAGCATTGGAGGTGCTCTTAAGGTCAAACGAAAACCTCACTCCTTTGCTCACTGCCAATGAGTCAGAATTGACTCAAAGCTGACCCTCCGATGGGTTTTCGGAGGCTGTAAATCATGTAGGAGGAGCCTGCCTGCTTTTGTCCTGAAGTGTGGCTGGAGAATCTGAACCACCAGTGAGGTGTTCTCTTTGGGTTAGCAGCAACAACTCCCGACGGACTACGCGACCAGAGCTCCCCAGAGAAGAAGTCAGAAACAAATTATTTAAATAGAAAATGGACAATGAGTCAAGACAAACCTGTTTGCCCAGAAGGGAGAAAGAGTGTGCAAGTGAGCGTGCATCTCACCCTAGAGTCAGTATCCCTGAACTCCAACTGCCAGTTTCTTAAACTGTGAGCTATTAAATTTCTGTTTTTTAAAGCCATTCTTAAGCATTTCTGTTATAACAACACCAGGAAACGTAAGACATGTAGTATACTTTATCAACCTACAGGTGCTTTCTGACAATATACTCTGCTATGAGACATGCTGAGGAGACAGAGATATTAACACATCCTTTAGGCTGAGAAACATGGGCAAAGTTAGTACCTGATGTCATGTTACAGGCATTGTTGTACCCTCCTGTTCAGCCGGACCACTGGCTCACTGCGAGGGGTGTTTCTCACCACGCTCTGGACAGACTCTGCTCCGATGGTCTCATCAGCCCTCACTCCCACTACTGAAAGCATGATCTCTCAGTTTTAAGCTACCTCCCCTATAAAGCCTCCCTCCGTGCCTCTAGTCAGAAAGAATCTTCCTTTTTTGCTTCCACAGCACTTCATTATTGTGGCACATGGTGGGTGCTCAGTGGATACTGACATACTAAACCAACGGGATGTGGAGTTTAATTAATTCTGTTTCAGATTTTAGGACGCTGTACATCCTTCTCACCTAGCAAATTTTAAACTCCTTGAGGAAAAGGGAGTGTGTGTTAAATCTGCTCTGTACGCTCATACTTCCTAATGCACACAGTACACAGGAGGAGCTCAAGTCAGGCTTTTTAAATACAGAGATGCTCTATATATCTCTATATTATATGTATCTGTACACAGCAGGAGCTCAATCAGTGCTTTTTTAATATAGAGATGCTCTAAGAGCTAACTTTGGCCACACGATAGGCGAATGAAGCTTTCTAGACGGATGGCTCCATGCAAATTGTGGATAGACCAGAGAAATATAATATGCATATTTGTCCTTTGGTCTCATGTCTTGCTTTGGGTAAGCAAACTGGGGCTTCTGCTCACAAAAGGAAGAGTCTGGGAGTGGTTTCCTCTGCCAAATGACCCAGCAGCACCTGCCTCGAGCACAGAGCCAGTCTGCTTCCTCCTCCAACCTCCTTCCAAGGTGAAGCCTCCATTGAGTTACTGCCCACAGGATGGGATTACAGGCCTGAGTCTGAGACAAAGGTTCTTTATTCTGTGTCTGGTCATTAATTAGCTGCTGGGAACTTCAGGAAGGGGCCATTAACATGCTCATAAACCCTTTATTTTAAATGTTTTCGCTTAGCCATGATTCTGATGTGACTCTCCTTGTCAGCTGGACGTAGGACATTTGTTTCTTAACATTTCTGAGGCTCATTAACTACTCCATCCCAGCGGCTCATTAACCAGCCCATTAGGGATTTCGCCTCATCCAGGCAGAAGCTTCCACTTGCCCTCACAGAGCCTGCAAGGCCTAATTGGGAACCGTGCAAGGCAAGTTACAAGGCTCTACAGAGAGATGAGAGGAACCTGGGAGGTGTGAGTGGTCTGTGACTGGCTGCTAAACTAATGGTTAGCGTTCAAATTGTCCCCAGGGCTCTGTGGAAGAAGGATCTGGTAGTCTGCTACAGTAAAGACCACAGCAAGAACAGCCTGAGGAGCACAGTTCTGTTCTTTAACCCATGGGGCCACCATGCACTGGGGTCTGTTGTGGCCTCATGAGGTCCCCTGGTCCTGTGGTAAGGTCAGGGGGAAGGTACTCACCTGCTATTCTCCCAATGGGCATCGCATGCTCCTCAGGCGGGGAAACTGAGACCATGATATGGTTCATGTAGGCCAAGTCTTCCCGGTGAGAGAGGTTGATGGGTTTCCCCTCTCTATGCAGCCCGTCCTCGGAGAGCCTGGACTGTTTGAAATCCATGGAGTGTCGGGGGTTCAAGATCAGGGGGTGCATGATGGGGCTGGGCATCAGCTGGATCACTCGTGTGCTCTCCTGCCGGGGGCTGGATGGCTTCTGGTGTGGCTCTGAGGACGGTGGGCAGTGATTATTCTCCATGGGAGACACGGACAGCGGGTAGGATTCTTGGTGGTTGTTCTCCTGATGGAGCCGTGGTCCCTGCGCCCTGTCGGCTGGGGAGAGGCGGCGGATCATGTTGTCCAGGGGGGATCGCAGGGGCCGCTGCTCGGGGTCAGGAGAAGGCCGGTGATTTGTGGTGATAGGTGACCGGGACCGGTGCAACAGTTCAATGGTGGGGGGGTTGTGATGCACGTTCTCCACGGATGGCCTCGGGGTCCTCTGGACACAGTTATCTGTGGAGGAAATGAAAGAGAATGACAGTCCTCTGTGAATGGTCAAGAAGGGAACCTCACTATGCTTCTAAATGCTGCAAATATTCAGATGTAGTGGAGTGTGTAGGCACAGGGTAGTAGCACCTTTCTTCCAGGATTCAGGATGTCTTTTTCACTGCTTAAAAAATGTCCAAGAGCTCATACTTGAAATTCTTTTCCCACTACAACCATGCTAAGAATGTCCACGAACATTCCATTAATCACCTAATAGTAGCTTATAAAGACAATGAAGCCAAGCGTTCATTGTTTGTCTCCCTCAATTCTTTGTGAGTTCCTGACTCCTGTTTTTTTTTTAACAGATACATTTTCATGTTCTCTGCCTTCAAGATTTTGTTGCTGTTATTCAGGAGATTAGCAATAATGGTGATGAGCATGGCTAAGCAACTCCGTTATCCTAGGTTGAGACCCACTGCTGTCAGGGTTGCTATGAGTTGTAGTTGACGCGACAGCACAGAACAGCAACATGTCCTAGAGACTGGATTACACTGTTTCTAACCCACAACACATCTAATAAGTGATGCACTGCTACTTCTTCATTTTACAAGTGATAAAATCGAAGGTCACAGGGACAAGTTGGAGAGTTAGAACCTAGATGCCAGTCAGATTTCAGGGCCTACGTGGCTACTACACTGTGCTAAGTAGGAACCAAAGCCATGTCAAAACCTGCCTTACAAAGCTGAACACAGACATTCCATATGACCCTGCTATTCCATTGCTTGAAATATACCCCAAGAAAATGAGAACTGAGGCTCAAATGGAAACTTATACATCTACGTTCATAGCAGCATTATTCAATATCACAAGAACATGGCAACAACCCAGAGAAGTTGTGGTACATTCATTCAATGGAATACTACATTCAACATGCAGAAACAGTCATTTTGTAAACTACTACCTAATTTGGGAGGGACTGGAGAGCATTATGCCGAGTGAACCAACTCAGTCCCACAAGGACAAATACTGTTTAAAACCATTATTGTAGAATGAGTATGAGGATCCAAGGTGGGAAGGAGGATGGAAATAGAACAGTAAGGATGGGGGGTAGGGTGTTAATCACAGGGTTGCACAGTTTGATGAGTGGGTGGGGTGAAGGTAATGGGAAGGATCTTTTGTGGAAAACATTGTATTCAAACTTTTAAAAAAATCAGAATAAAATTAAAAAAAAACAAGCCTGCCTTACGCATGAGCCCTAGTTTATGAATGACGATTATTATTGCACTTCAGAGAATATTTCAAAACTCAAAAACTCACTGCTGTCGAGTTGGAACCAACTCAGAGCTGATCCTCCATCAGGTTTCTGAGACAAGTGAATTTCACAAGAGGAGACTGACCATCTTTCTGACTTTCTGTCAGTGAGACAAGTCCTTTGAGTTAACAGAATAACCCTCAACAGACTACATCACCCAAGTATATTATTCTTATATTGCCAGACCCACCAAATGCTCAGCGTCAGGTAGGCTTAAGTAAGAAGGATGGGTGGACAGCACTAACAAGCCTTTCATTCTTCGACCATGGGAAAGTTCCAACTAGTGACATCCAAGCAAGAAGAGCAACAGAAGTATGCACAGCTCAGCAACAGAATTAGCACTTGGACTGGGTTCAGGAAGGGGCCAGCACATGCATCAGGACTTTCTGCTAAGGTCGTGAAGCACAGAAAGAAATCTGTGCATGAAAACAGAATTTTTTAGAGCACCACATAGCTGTTCCTAGAGTTGTGTCACCAAAGAATCAGCATGCTTCCTATTCCTGCTCTGGTCAAAGACTTATCAAATGCAGACGTATGTAATCAAGTCATAGACATTGCATTTTTTCAGCAAGATGACATCGACATGAGCAGCATTAAAATGGGACTTGAAAATCTGATAGGGTTAGAAAATAGAGACAGAAGAGGTAGTTTCTTAAAGTTTTACCCAGGGATAATAAAAAAGGAACTATTTTCTTTTTCAAGGCTCCACTAGATGTTACTTATCAAATGAGATTATGAACATCAACAACAATATATTGTTCATGATCATTGAAAGATCATTTGGCAAAGGGTTTGTGATTACTGTATGACTTGCTATTATGAAGTCAAAAGTGATTAGTTACTGAAGTAGTTATTAGTGAAAGACTGGTTTAAGACATTACAGCATATTTAAACAATGAAGTATTACACAACTATAAAAAAAAAGGCATATTTCAGCAGTCTACTAAGGGTGGGTAAAGAGTTGTGCTGTCAACCCAAAGGCTCGCAGGTCGAATCCACCAGATGCTATGTGAAAGAAAGATGGGCAGTCTCTTCCTGGATGATTTACTGCCTCTGAAAACCTG